ACCTAAAACCGACGTTTCGACCTCTGCGGGTCTTTTTCAAGGTTACTGTAACCAACAAACTCATATCAATATATACATAAAGTATAAGTGCACTTACCAATCCTTTTCGTTGTGAATCCCTGCACCAGTACCAGGAAGTGAGATAGGACCGCCCCGTGACGTCATAACCTCATTACGTACGGCGGAAAGCTCAGTGGTTGCTATAGAAACAGGTAAACTAAGCAAGTGAAACCCGTGTGGGTAAGAAAAAGTGAAACCGGTGTTGTGATAGAGATAATCGAGATGGAAGAAATAAACCATTCACAAAATACATTGGGCAATTGGAAAGATGGCTGCTAAACCCAAAACACCTAAAAAAACTGTGCAAGTGCCAATGTGTATCTACATTAAAAACGTGAATCAGTGACAAATCAACTAAGTGGCAAAACAAGTGATATCTAGGCATCAAATGTAAATATGGTAAAATGTTGAAAGCAACTCGTCCCACTCTTGTTAAAGACAAATAATAATCATAAATATTAACACTCACTAAACTTTACATTCAGAGCTATCCACCTTAACAGATAACAAATGCATCATAGATATTCTGAAACATATTGCTCAACAAAAAACAAAACACAAAAGAAGGGGGACTATTCGCTAAATACATTTTAGTAAAAGAAATCAAACAATGCCAAGAAAAATCGAATCGAAAAAATTATAAACATTTGGAGACATCCTACTTAGCAGCAGATATTATGTCAAATTCAACTAAAATGTTCTGAGACAAATTACTATAAACCCTAAAAAAAAGGGACTATTCACTAAACCAAAAAATGTTTTAAGAAATTTTTTAAGAAAACAGCCAATTAGAAAAGTAATCAATAAACTAAAACGGATACAAATTCGGATACTAACTCTAGATACTATATACATGTCAGAATATAATGCTATTATATTACACCACGACCAGAATTCAAACTACCACATGGAGTATGTAACATGTTCATTAAGTCCCTTAGGGGAATAACTATTGCGCCCCCTTTGTCCGCCGGGCGGATGACTATTGTAGGGTCTTGTTGAAGATCTTTGAGAGCTTCTTTTTCTTTGATCGTTAAATTATGTCTGGAATGAGGAGGCACTTTAATGATCCTTTGTACATCTTTCTGTATTGTTTGTATATAAGACTTGATAGCAATGTTTCCGAAAAGAAACAGATCGAAATACAGTGCTTTTAGCCACCAGTTTTCATCCGAAACATTTCATTGATTCGTTACCTATTTCCCAGTTCATACGTGTACTACGCTACAATAGTGACCCCGTCCAAATGAACTTACAGTTACAACAAATGCAACAGAGATTCTTAGCTAGAGGTTATTCGTCTCAAACATTAACCCTAGCTGAGACTAAAGCAAAAGAAAAAATTCAGAAAACCTCTGAAAGAATCAGTGATCAATCACTTACTTTTCATACTAATATTTCACAGATCAAGAATACTATATACAAACACTGGTATATACTAAAGGCAGACAAGTATTTATCACCAATTTTTCAAAATCCACCAGTTATTAGTTACCGACGGAATAAGAGTCTGAGGGATATGCTGGTCCGTAATGATCCAGTACACTGTTATCAACAAGCTAAAGTAATCAAGAAAAAAGGTTGCTACACATGCACAGGATGTGTAACATGTAGCCATATGGTATCTGGCACATCCTTTGCCCATCCACAAACTGGTCAACGTATTTCCATTCAGCATCATATCACTTGTACGACGGATCATGTTATTTACATGATCACATGCCCTTGCGGGCTATCTTACGTAGGTAAGACAGATTTAACACTCCGGGACAGAATAAGAGGACATCGCTCAGGTATAACCACAACTTTCCGGGATCAACACTCAGAAAAACCAGTTGCCAAACATTATTTGGCTTTACAACACCGATTGCCTACACTGAGATTTATCGCGATCGACCATGTCCCACCTCCGTACCGAGGCGGTAACAGATCTAAAATATTGCTACAGAGGGAAGCATATTGGATCCATTATTTGGACACAGCTTCCCCTAAGGGACTTAATGAACATGTTACATACTCCATGTGGTAGTTTGAATTCTGGTCGTGGTGTAATATAATAGCATTATATTCTGACATGCATATAGTATCTAGAGTTAGTATCCGAATTTGTATCCATTTTAGTTTATTGATTACTTTTCTAATTGGCTGTTTTCTTAAACAATTTCTTACATTTTTTTGGGGTTTAATGAATAGTCCCCTTTTTTTAGGGTTTATAGTAATTTGTCTCAGAACATTTTAGTTGAATTTGACATAATATCTGCTGCTAAGTAGGATGTCTCCAAATGTTTATAATTTTTTCGATTAGATTTTTCTTGGGTTTGTTTGATTTCTTTTACTAAAATGTATTTAGCGAATAGTCCCCCTTCTTTTGTGTTTTGTTGAGCAATATGTTTCAGAATATCTATGATGCATTTGTTATCTGTTAAGGTGGATAGCTCTGAATGTAAAGTTTAGTGAGTGTTAATATTTATGATTATTATTTGTCTTTAACAAGAGTGGGACGAGTTGCTTTCAACATTTTACCATATATACATTTGATGCCTAGATATCACTTGTTTTGCCACTTAGTTGATTTGTCACTGATTCACGTTTTTAATGTAGATACACATTGGCACTTGCACAGTTTTTTTAGGTGTTTTGGGTTTAGCAGCCATCTTTCCAATTGCCCAATGTATTTTGTGAATGGTTTATTTCTTCCATCTCGATTATCTCTATCACAACACCGGTTTCACTTTTTCTTACCCACACGGGTTTCACTTGCTTAGTTTACCTGTTTCTATAGCAACCACTGAGCTTTCCGCCGTACGTAATGACGTTATGACGTCACGGTGCGGTCCTATCTCACTTCCGGGTACCGGTGCAGGGATTCACAACGAAAAGGATTGGTAAGTGCACTTATACTTTATGTATATATTGATATGAGTTTGTTGGTTACAGTAACCTTGAAAAAGACCCGCAGAGGTCGAAACGTCGGTTTTAGATTTGCACCTTGTATAAATAAAACTACATTTTTTTTCACCAGG